AGATCTTTTTATTAAGATTTATTTATTTACTTGAAAGAGTTACAGAGAGAGGGAAATACAGAATGAGAGAGAGAAAGAAAGAGAGGGATCTTCTGTCCTCTGGTTCATTCCCCAAGTGGGCACAAAAGGCAGGGCAGAGCCAGGCCAGGAACCAGGAGCCAGGAGCTTCCTCCGGGACTCCCGTGTGAGTTGCAAGGGCCCAAGCACTTGGGCCATCTTCTCTGTTTTTTCCCCAAGCCACCAGCAGGGAGTTGGATCGCAAATGGAGCAGCTGGAACACAAACTGGTGCCCATGTAGGATGCCTACACCACAGGCAGCAGCTTCACCTGTTAAACCACAATGCCAGCCCCCATAGCACAAACCTTATATTCAAAGCAGACAGCACACACCAATCAATGTATTTTCTATGAAATTCAGACAACATTTTGCAATATAAGACCGTTTTTGCTAATGAAGTTTACTTTTCAAGAAGGGTGGAACATTGAAACATGAGAAGTGGAGATGGGGAGTTTAAAAGAGTGTTAAAACAGTCATTGGTTGTCTCTGGTTGTAAAAGGTAATGATGTGTTTAGTAAAAACCATGCAGTTTCAGGAAAATTATAGTGCTGCATTGACATCAGTCTATTCTTGGAGGCATTTTTTTTCCCACTGCAGTTAGATAAATATGCACAGTTGCATGTACTTCCAAAATAATTCCATCTCATCTAAAATTATCTTAGTAGAATAACTTCTGTAGTCCATAATTTTGGGGATGAGATGGATGATTTGACAGAGTCAAGATTGACAAGCATGAAAATAAGTAAAGAGGAGTTGGCATTTAGCACAGTGTTACCCAAATCTATCACTCTTGGGAGCCATGTTTTTCTATTCCTATGGTGTTCTATAAGAATTGTCAGTCACTGTATTTACACCCCAACTTCCCTAGAGGTGCTAGTATGTTGGCCAAACTAGTATGTTGGCCAACTTAGGACTTCTCTGCTGAGACAGGTGGGAGAAGACTATCTCCTCTCTTCAGTCTCATGGTGCTGTGGTCTTGTGAGTTTGGATTGTCAGTGGCCGTTTTTCCCAGTCACAGGGAGGAAGACTGTGGTTAGAAGAGAAGACCAGTCTTTGGAAGGCAGCAGAATCAACCCATGGAGTGGAGAGAAGCCTAAACCTGTCATTTGTGCCCTCAAGTCAATTGAGGTCTGAAAATGGTTCTCTGTCTGGGCCTTTCTGGTGTACAAGCTAATATATTCTTTCTAAATTTATACTTTAAATTAATTTGTATTTGGTTTCTGGCGTTTGTCATGAAGAGATTTGACTAATACACTGTTCAACAATCTGCATTCTTGGACTCAGTATGGAGGATTCTGAGCTGTGGTTTTTGTGTGACAGGATTCTCTATTTGCTCATTAGGTATGAGGTGAAGAAAGGTGGAAGGGTATAGATTATGTTCAAGAAATATTTACTGGGATGGGCATTTGGTACAGCAGTTAAGATGCTGCTTTGGACAGCTGAATTCCATATTGGAATGCCTGGGTTTGATTTCTCACTCCTCTTCAGATCCAGCTCCATGCTGGTGTGTACCCTGAGAGGCATTAGATGGTGGTTCAAATACTGTGGTCGCAGCCACCCGCATGGGAGACCTGATAGAGTTCCAGGATCCTGGCTTCACAGTCTGGCCCAGCCCCAGCTTTTGCAGCCTGTTTGATGGAAGATTCTCTCTCATTAGTTTTGTGGGCTGACCTGGCAACTCATGTTATAAACCATGTTCCCATGTAAAAGAAAATCTTCAGTTCCAGATTCACCAATTAGAAATAACTTTTCTGGGGAAGGTTATTGGAAAGTCTGGGCATTATTTCACTCCTATTAGAGTTTGTTTCCTACAAAGTGATGAAATGTGATAGAACAAGAGATATCAAGAGTAAGCTGCACTCTAAGAATACAACAATTGTACACTTGTCAATCTTGAGGAATAAAAGAATCAGCATCATACATTATGAGTTTATGAAATATACCAAACTAAATCTCTAGTCTTCGAATGATTTTATAAAATCCACTGAGACATTCTATTTAATTACCCTTCAAGGACTTCTGCTTGAAATTCCTTTATAATTGAACGGCTTATGAAAATTCAGTGAATTTATATTTAGAAATAGAGTAGGTTTTAAAAATAAATCAATCAGGATGTTATATAATTATTTGAATGATCTAAATGGTAATTTTTATTTTAAACTATCTTGTAAATACATTTGGTATTTGGTTTCTGAAACATAAATTGTATGCGAATCTGTGTTTTGACTCTTGTGTTGGAAATAACAGCGGGAAATTCATGGGTAACAGAGTCAGCATTAAGATGGCTCCCTGACACGGATACTGAAACAAATTGTAGCATTACTCATCCTTATACATCAATAAAGAGTCTATTTCCAGACATAATGACATTTACTGGTTTAGTAACTATTTTTATCTGATATTAAAGAACATTACCTTTATTTAAAGTCTCTTGGAGGTCTGATGACATTTGCTGATTGGATTGGAAAGTCAAGTACAAGGAGATGAGTTGTTTCCTCTCACACACAGTGTATGTAGGTTTTAAAATTAGAAAGATGTGGTTTCAGTTCCCAGGCCTGCAGGAAACTAATTGTGTGAGCATAGGAAAGTTACTTTGCTGCTCTGGATCTAGGACACTAACCTCTGAGGGTCATGTGAGCAAAAGTGACAATGTGACTTAAGAATTTACCACATTTGCAATCTGTTGAAATCTTTACTTAGTATATTCTAAGTTGATGATCTTCTGTACATAAAGATAATTAAAAATGAATCTTAATGAAGAATGAGATAGGAGAGGGAGTAGGAAATGGGGTGGTTTGCAGGTGGGAGGGAGGTTATGGGGGGAAAACTGCTATAATCCAAAAGTTGTACTTTCACCAAAATTTATATTTATTAAATAAAAGTTTTCTAAAAAAGAATAGCAGTCATAAACACACACACACACACACACATACAAAGAAAAGAATTTACTACTTGGGGCTGGCATCATGGTGCATCCAGCTAAGCAGTCACCTGTGATACCAACACCTGAGATAGGAGCCTTGGTTTACTTCCAATCCAGTTCCCCGTCAATTCACAGGAGAAAGCAGAAAAGGATGGCCCTCTGTGGGGGGCTGGAATGGAATTCTAGGCTCCTAGCTCCAACCAGCCCAGCCATGGCTTTTGTGACCATTTAGGAAGCAAACCAGTGGATGGAAGATCTCTTTTTCTCTCTGTCTTCCCATCTCTCTCCATCACTCTGCTTTTCAAATGAATAAAATAAATTTAAAAAAATTTACCATAGTGTCTGGCACATGATAGCTCCTCAGTGCAACCTCACTTCCCAAGCAGGATGGCGGAAGCCATCAGGTCCACAAGGAGAGCTGAAGCACAGTGCTCTCTGGGGAGTTTGCTACCTGTGTAACTAGAAGTGACCCACTGTCACACAGCATTTTACTTAAAAAATAGTTAGAATATTTTAACATGGCTAAAATATTGGGGTGCACCTCTGAATAAATCTGAAAAGGATGAGGTGAAGAGAAAAGTCCTAAGAGACTGAAGGGGACTGTGCCCAGAATAGGGAAAGTGACTGCATGTGTTCACGTGTGTGTGTGTGCACACATTCAAATGTGGAAGGTGTGTGTTGGGGGGGCAGGGTTAGGACTATGAGGCAAATGGATTATGGCAATAGAAATCAGGTTATATTCCTCTTCATAAAATTGGAGAACACTTTATGTGTGGTGGGGACTTTCCACTTTATTTGTGTTTTTTCTTTATTCAATGCACAAACTGTCTGGAGATTTCCAGATACTAGAAAGTGAAACTTCCAGAAGGTAGTCTTGATGATGAGAAAGCTATCCCTGTGGACAGGGGAGGGTTGATAAAAGGACAAGGGAGGTGATTGGCTTCTTTCAAGGGCCAACTACTGATATCAGTTTTGTGTGTTTTAAAAAGAAGATTGCCAATATGTGTTAGTAGAGTTTTCAAGGTGCATATGTACATGAAGAGAAATGTTGTGACATTTTCTATTATTTATCTTCCTGGCATCCTTTTCCTCCTTCTACATTGCCTACAGGAGTCCTACTTCAGGATGGTAGCATGAAAAGCACTTTTTAAATGCACCCTTGTTGAGAGAACGATCCAACATGGGAAGCGGGATACACAGTAGACTCATAGAATGGCAGATGTCCTAAACAGCACTCTGGCCTCAGAATCAGCCCTTAAGGCACTCGGATCTGGCTGAAGAGCCCATGAGAGTATTTTAGGCATGGAAAGCCAAGACACTCTGGCAAAAAAAAAAAAAAAAAAATGACTTAAATGAAAGATCTCCACGAGTGAGATTCCAGTGGAAAGAACAGGTCATCAAAGAAGGAGGTACCTTTCTCTGAAGGGAGGAGAGAACTTCCACTTTGACTATGACCTTGTCTAAATATGATCAGAGTCGGCGAGCTCAAAAGGCCTCCTTAGCCTTGGCAACTCATGAGCCTAGGGAGATTACTGACACCATAAACAAGAGTGTCATTTTGTTAAGTCAACAACAGGAGTCACTGTGCCTTTACTCCTCATGTAGGATCTCTGTCCTTAATGTGCTGTACATTGTGATTCAATGCTATAACTAGTACTCAAACAGTATTTTACACTTTGTGTTTCTGTGTGGGCGCAAACTGTTGAAAGCTTTACTTAATATATGCTAAATTGATCTTCTGTATGTAAAGAGAATTGAAAATGAATCTTGATGTGAATGGAAGGGGAGAAGGAGCAGGAGAGAGGAGGGTTGAGGGTGGGAGGGAAGTTATGGGGGGGGATGCCATTGTAATCCATAAGCTGTACTTTGAAAATTTATATTCATTAAATAAAAGTTAAAAAAAAAAAACAAATGCACCCTTGCTACTGAATGATTCTGGCCAATGAGATATAAGTGGGCGTCCTCTGGTTGCATATTGGAAAGCTTTTGCTTTCTCTCTTTTTTTCATTTATTTGACAGGTAGAGTTACAGACAGTGAGAGAGAGAGACAGAGAGAAAGGTCTTCCTTCCGTTGATTCACCCCTCAAATGGCCGCCATGGTTGGAACTACGCTGATCTGAAGCCAGGAGCCAGATGCCTCCTCCTGGTCTCCCATGGGGTGCAGGGCCCAAGCACCTGGGCCATCCTCCACTGCCCTCCCGGGCCACAGCAGAGAGCTGGACTGGAAGAGGAGCAACTGGGACTAGAACCGGTGCCCATAAGGGATGCTGGCACTGCAGGTGAAGGATTAACAGAGTGACCTAACCCTAACCCTAACCCTAACCCCAACCCCCCAGGCCCCAGAAAGCTTTTATATTCATAACAACAGGAGACCAGCGTGACTGGTATTGCCTCCCCTCTCCTCCTGCCCTGCCCATTGTCATGGTTTTGATCTTGATACTTAGAGCAGCAGCATCCATTCTGCAATCATCCAGTGCTAAACACAAGGATCTGTGGCTTAAACCTGAGAAGCTGTTGTGGAGCAGCAGGACTAATGGTGATCAGCTATGTAGTGTGAACTTGTTACATGAGGAAAGTAGCCCTCCCCCCCCCCCCTTTGGCTTAAGTTGACATTAGCTCTCTGATGCTTGCAGCCAAGTGTGTTTCTAACCAGTATTGGTTAACACGATTTTGGTAGAATTTCTTTTTTAAAGGAAATTGATATTGATTGTATAATTTCTTTTTTTAAAAGATTTATTTATTTATTTGAAAGGCAGAGTTACAGAGAGGCAGAGGCACAGCAAGAGAGGTCTTCCATCTGCTGGTTAACTCCCCAAATGGCCACAACAGCCAGAGCTGGGCTGATCTGAAGCCCCGATCCTGGAGCTTCTGCCATGTTTCCCATGTGGGTGCAGGAGCCCAAACACTTGGGCCATCTTTTACTGCTTTCTCAGGCCATAGCAGAGAGCTGCATTGGAAGTGGAACAGCCGAGACTCAAACTGGCACCCATATGGAATGCTGGCACTGCAGATTGGGGCTTTAACCCACTGCGCTGCAGCAACTGCCCAATTGTATAATTTCTAAACCAATTCAATCACTTAAACTGTACAACTCAATGTGCTTTTAGATATATTCACAGGGTGTGCAATCATCATCACTATCTAATTTCAGAATTCTTTTCTTCCCCAAAAAGAAATACCTTATCCATCAACAGCCATTTCCTGCCTCCTAACCACTCCCCTCCCAATGCCCTGAGACCTAGGCAACCACTAGTTTACTTCCTGTTTCCATTGATCTGAATATTCTGTATTTTTCATATGAAGAGAATAATACACCTTTTATTTACACCTTTTGTGTCTGTTTTATTTCATTTAGCATAATGAAGCTCATACATGTTTTAGCACATATTAGTAACTTGCTCTGTTTAACGGCTGAATAACATTCTGTTGTTTGGGTTTACCATATTTTGGACATTTAGAGTTTAGTATTTTTTAGCTATTATGATTACTGCTGTTGTAAATGTTCACATACAATATTTTATCTAGACTTTTTTCATTCTTATTGTGTATATATTTAGGAATTGAGTTGTGGATTATAAAGGAATATTTTGTGGATGTACCAAATGGTTTTCCAAAGAAGCTGTACCATTTAACATTCGTATATCAAGATGTGAAGCTTCCAACTTCTCCATAACCTTACCAACACTTGGTATTATCTATCTTTTTGGTAACAGCCATCTTGGTAGATATGGAGTGGTATCTCATGGTGATTTTAATTTACATTTCTCTAGTAACTAATGTTGTTGAGGATCTTTTGTGTAGTTATAGGCCATTTGTATGTCTCCTTTGAATAAATAGCTCTCCAAATCCTTTGTCCACTTACATATATATAAATATGTATATGTACATATATATATACATATTATGTGTCTTATAAGAGACAGCTATAGGATAAATTAATAGTTTGGACGTCTGAGCATTGGACAAGGGAACTGCAGCAAGAAAGAATAAGTGGTGCCTTTGACGAAGGAACATTGGCATCTGAAAGACAAAGAAAGGAAGGGTCTACAAAGATGATTGACAAGGTGCAGCCAAAAGTGGAAAAAGAAATCAGAATTACTGGGGGAAAAGTTATCTTCAGCATCAAATGACTTAGAGTGGCCTGATAGCACAAGAACTTGGATGTTTCTGTCTGAATGAAGAGTAGATTTGAGGGGGTAGCCGTATGGCCCTCGTGGCATATCAGAGTACCTGGGTTTAAGTCCCAATTCTAGCTTCCTGCTATTGTAGCCCCAGAGAGGCAGTTGATTACTCTAGTACTGTGTCCCACAAGTACTTGTACCCATAAGGAAGACTTGGATTGAGGTCCTGGCTTTTGGCTTTGGTCTGACCCAGCTCCCATCATCTGGGGAGTGAACCCTTGGGAGCTTTATGTCTTTCTGTCTCCGTCTCTCTCGTACTCTCAAATAAATAACATGTTTTTAGCAGAAGAATTTTTGTTTGGTGCTTTTAATGAGAGCAGTTTCAGGGATATAATCGCAGTTAATTACTTGTGCACCTGAGATTCGAAGCCACGTCTAACTCTAAAACCCACAATACAGAATGTGAGAGGGAACATCTTCCTGTCCTTTACTTTCAAATTCAATCAGCAAATGTCATTGGATCTCCAAGAGATTTTTAATAAAAGAAATAGCCTTTAATATTAAGGTGGAAATGGTTTCCAAGGCAGTAAATGTTATTATGACTAGAAATAGACTCTTTATTCAGGTATAAGGATGAGTAATGCTACGATTTGTTTCAGTGTCCGTGTCATGGAGCCATTTTAATGCTGACTCTATTACACATGGATTTCTTTTCATTATTTCAAACACAATGGTCCAAAGCACATTGCCTGATTGTCTGTTGCAGCAGGGAAAGGGATGAGAGTGATGGAAGGGTGCACTGCTGGAGGACTTGACATTTAAGCAGGGACATAAGTATGGTGAGAAAAACATGAACACACATTTCTGCCGAGGGGACAGCAAATACAAAGGCTCTACAGTGATAGAGTGTTTATCCCATGGAAGGAGAAGCAACATGACCTTAGAGCCGTAGGCTTAATTCTTCAGCAGAGGTGTCCAAAAGTCTCCAAGGGTGCAATTTTCAGCCTGTTCTTCAGTCTTCAAAAAATCTGTCCTGAAAAGGGAATCTTACACTTAGAGGAAAGGCACCAATATAGTGCAGTAGTTTTTTCCTTTTGTACCATTTTGTAGTAAGTTGCTAACACAGTCCATCACCCACACTTTTTTAATGCATATTGTCCACACATAAAGATGCATCCCAGTGACAGCGTTTTGAGGAAGCCGTACGGTATTTTCTCAGGAGTTTCACTCCATGTATGTTTTATGTTTATCCAAGCAGAACAATAATTTTAATGTATTCATAATAGATTTATGAATAAATAACTGTGCTTGGTATATTAACTTATCAAAAGTTGAAAGTATTGCATATGTCACTCTGTTTTATAGATACTCAGTAATGGTTATCTGTCTGAAAGAAAGAAGGAAGAAAGAAGTAATGAATATATTCTTCCTCAGGAAGATTTTGTATCATCACTTTCTTTTTTTTAGTATAGGCAGTTTAATCTGGATGCTAAAAATCTGCTGTCCTAATTGTAATATCATACAATTCGACATTATTATTGTTGCTTTCTCATACTTTTTATAAATAAATGTAGGTTAGAATGATGACATGTTGTCTTAGTGGATCTTAGTAATAAAATATTGGTTGTTTTTGTAATTTTATTAGTTTTATGATTATTGGTGTGAGCAAGATAGTACATGCCAAAATGCTGTGTTGTAAGACTAAGCCTATGAACTTATTAAAAATAAGAAAGGTTATTTTTGTTATTTTGTTAGCTACTGTGTACTGTTAACAAAGGTGTTATCTGAAGATGTGATTAAGATTCTGCACGTCTCCAATTCAAGAGTCTTTATACTGCTTCTAGATGATTACATATATTTGTATAATTTACCATTGCAGCTTTAGTTCAGTTTTTAAATTTATAAAAATAAATCAATATTAATGAAACACCTGTATTTCCAATGTGCAGAACAATATACTTAGTTAAGGCTATAGAATTGTCTAAGTAATTGAATAAGTTAGAAGTGACACACTGCATGTGATTATCTCCTTAACTGAAATATTAAATCTGCATCTTGTAAAATAAGCAGTTCCTTATGTTTTTTATCTTGATTGCTAACATAGGCATTTGAGTATTACTGTTCCCAGTGAGAAGTTTAGTAAGACCTGCGATATTTTCCGTTGCTGAAATAGTTGAATTTTATTTATTTCCACACACACATGATTCTGAGGCTCTCATGGGCTCAAAGCATTGGTTTTCAAATTATGATGCCCTAGAACAGGCACCTTGAAGTCATCCCTGCCATTGTGGCTGTTTCTACCAGGTCTATCAGGATTCACCGATCTAGGTGCCTCAGCTTGGCATGCCTACCTTGGAGGGAGTGCTGTAATTACCACACTAATGCAGGGTGGAGACATTTGGAAGATGAATAAATTCGAAATGAGAACTCAAATTAAAAAAAGAAAAATAATTAACTAGTTATTGAGCACTAATCAGCTGTTTACTGCTTATAGCTCCTCACATTGTCTAAAACGATTTTGCTGGCCATAAACCTAGGTGTTATTCTTAAGAAATGACTGAGTTTGAAAAAGCAATATTTCTTTTTTTTTTTTTTTGACAGACAGAGTTAGACAGTGAGAGAGACAGAGAGAAAAGACTTCCTTCTGTTGGTTCACTCCCCAAGTGCCTGCTACGGCTGGCATGCCGCGCTGATCTGAAGCCAGGAGCCAGGTGCTTCCTCCTGGTCTCCCATGTGGGTGCAGGGCCCAAGCACTTGGGCCATCCTCCACTGCACTCCTGGGCCACAGCAGAGAGCTAGACTGGAAAAGGGGCAACCAGGACAGAATCCAGCACCCCAACCAGGACTAGAACCCGGGGAGCGGGCACCACAGGCGGAGGATTAGCCTAGTGAGCTGTGGCGCCTGCAAAAGAGCAATATTTCTTTAAAACACCCCAGAGCTTTCATAATTGCTGTGATATCATATCAATGATATCTTTTTCAATGATATCTTATTGATTCATTTCTTCTTCTTCTTTTTAAAGACTTATTTATTTGAAAGTCAGAGCTACAGAGAATTAGAGGCAGAGGTGGAAAGATACCTTCCATCTGCTGGTTCACTCACCAGATGGCCACAACGGCTGGAGCTGGGCTGATTGGAAGCCAGGAGCCTGGAGCTTGATTCATTTCTTCTTTTGCCTACCTGTTTGCAGATGCCACATCCAGCCCCCAAGAAGGGTATGTGTAACCACTCCTTAAATACAAGTGAGGAATATCCGTATGTTTTATATTTACCATGTTTAATAGGAATGTAATTGTCCACACTGTTGTACAGTTTTTCCCAGATGATTTTAATGCTTCTGATTTTGGTAAGTATGGGATGTCTTCTCGTATTGATGACACAGGAATTGAATTCGTCTTGGCAGCATCAGTCAGTGTGGATCGTGATTGGTCTACCAGCATTTTCAGGTTACTGTTTGCAGTAACTCAATCTCTTGGATTATCATCATTTTCCTCATTCATGTGCCTGTTACCTAAGTCTGCTTGTTCTCTGGTTTAAATGACTAAAGGGTAAAGGATTTTGAAAAATTCCTGGCACATAATAAATCCTAAATAAATAGTAAGTAATGCATTCCGAATATTATTCAATACTGAATATTATTTGTGTTGAGTCCACTGCTACCAAGAAAAATACCTTTCAGCTCTGTGAATTTTCAGTTAGGACTGAGGCTCTCAATGAAACTTTCCTTGTCTTCTCCACTTGCTGATTTGTGAGGGTGTTTGAAAGCCTATTTAAGGTAGTTTTGTGAATGAGCCATACTCCTGCCTGCCTCTCAGTAGCATAGGTGGAACAGATTTGTGTCAATGAAAATGCATCCCTTCACCTTGACCACAGAGTAACTCTCGCACTGTCTTCTATCATCAAGCCTACCTAAACACTGGAACTAATTGCTCAATAAATTATTAATAGTAAATTAATAATTCAATTATCATTAATGTTATAAATGCAATTCCTAATGGTTCACTGTGTAGCCTTCCCACATGTCAGGTTTCTAATACCCAAGGCTTAAGAAGGCTAAATGTTTTAAAATACAAAGAATATGAATGTAGCAAATATGATTTCAATTATTAGTATCATGAAACATTGAAACCTATGGCAAGAAACTGAGAAATAGTCATGAATGGACTAGGTCTGTCTTAGGGAGTAGTAGTTTCATTTGTTCAGAGGTACTGCAACTTTTACTATGTTTTGTTTCAAGGAATGGTACTGTCTCATATTTATTTCATAAATTTGAAGAGAAATCTGACTTAATTTAGTCTTAAGAATTTTATGACACCCTTTGGGTAATGGGTGACAGCTGACTTACATAACACAAAATGAGTGTTGGAAATTATTGGCCAATCTGTAACTCAACAATTCATACTTCTCAAAAATCCAAAATAAAAGTACAAACCCTGGCATCATCCACAGATTTCATTTGCCCCTAGACCTAGTCAGAGACTACAGAGAGCACCTTGAAATGAAAAGGGTGTATTTTTATGTTATGAAATCAGAAGTGTCACAGAGAAAAGGCTTGAGATTCAGTGCTGGTGCTTTTTACCGAAACCCGCCATCCTTATAAGTCACGAGAATTCTCGTGGTGGAGAGAACGTATCTCGTTACTGGATCAGCTGTTAAAGACTGCGTGTGTGGTATGGGAGCTCAGAAAAGGGATTTGATGGTAGTACAAAAGAAGAGTATGACTGGAATGACTGACCTGGCACTAAGATCCTTCATGCCGGGGATGAGCAGAAACACTTCTCTGCTTCCATAAATCACGCCTGAGTGTTCAAAGCCTGACTCTGACTGGCGCAGAGTAGAGGTCAGCCTGACATAAGCCCATGGGCAGGAGGCCCTTGCAAATTTATTGAAGATTGGGAAGATTCTGGTTCTTGTTATTTTTTCCCCCTCTGTTTTCCGAACTTCCATTGGAATGCAGTAGGAAGTTTTGGATATGTCCCAGGAACCAGCAGAGGACAACTAAGCTTAATATGATGAAATAATATCCAGTTGTATTACCTAATAAGCTCACGATAACTAATGACTTGAATATACATCAGAATTTTGCAAATTTAGGTGTTTCTGTGTGATAGGACATACATAATTTATAGATGGGGGAGGAAGTTTTTCAAAAATTTCATGAAGAATGCATATGATGAAAAATTACATGTGGATCAAAACTTTTTTTTTTTTAATCAAAACAGACTTTAATTTCTTTTTGACAACAAACATTTCTCCTGCCATTCCATGGTATTAACCTAAGGCCCATTTTTCTTGTTAAATTTCTGGCTAAGGTAAAGTCACATTTAAAATCTGGTGGCACATTACTCTCATTCATTAATATGATAAATGCTTACTGAGTAATACTGTGCTAGTGTCTGTGCATATGTATGAAAAAGCAAACCACCCTTAATAATCTACTCTGGGAGGGGAGCTGAGACTTCAGACTGGCACCTTTGACACAGGCCCAAGTGCTATGAAATTTTATTTGGGCCATGAGAAGTATTTTGGGACTAGAGTACAGTCAGCTTTCTGTACCCAAGAGTTTTACATTGATGGATTCCACCTACAATCATTGAAAATATTTTAAAATGCATTTATATGGAATCTGTATGTCCTGACTCTGTAAAATACTATTTACTTAGCATTTACATTGTATTAGATATTATAGATAGTCTAGAGATGATTTATGGTATGTAGGAGGATGTTCTTAGGTTTTATATAAATACCACAATACCATTTTATATAAAAGACTACAGATTTTAATATCTGGGGGGTTAGGGGTCTGAAGCAGTGTTTTGGATCCCATCCCTGTGACTACAGAGGGATGACTGTAGCCTATCTGGGTGGAGGAAACTTTAAATGCATGATACAGAGGCAATGAAGTTCAGATGTTTGTGGGCAATAGTTCTTCATTCCATAAATGTTTGTAGAACGCCTACTATGTGACAAGAACTGTTTTAGACTCTGGAGATCTTGCAAAGCCCTCATGAGTTTACACTGACAGAAGCAAGGGCAGGTGGTGAATAAGTCAATTAGGTAATTTTAGTGAGTGATCAGTATTATGAAGAAAAGAAGGCTGGCGCCGCAGCTCACTAGGCTAATCCTCTGCCTGAGGCACCAGCACACCGGGTTCTAGTCCCGGTAGGGGCGCCTATTCTGTCCCGGTTGCCCCTCTTCCAGTCCAGCTCTCTGCTGTGGCCCGGGAGTGCAGTGGAGGATGGCCCAAGTGCTTGGGCCCTGCACCCCATGGGAGACCAGGAGAAGCACCTGGCTCTTGGCTTCAGATCAGCGCGATGTGCCGGCCGCAGTGCGCCTGCCGCGGCGGCCATTGGAGGGTGAACCAACGGCAAAGGAAGACCTTTCTCTCTGTCTCTCTCTCTCACTGTCCACTCTGCCTGTCAAGAAAAAATAAAAAACAAAAAAACTATAAATCATGGAAAGGAAAGGAAGAAGGAAAGCGGGGCAGTATTGACAAAACCCCCAAGGGCAGTATGACAGAGCACAAGTGGGGTGGGTGATATTGGTTAGGGTGGTTGAGGAGGAGCTGGATTGGATTGGAGAGTAGAGTATGTGAATAAGCTCATGGAGTAGAATACCAGAAAGGGTGTTGGGGAGTTCCTCTTTACTTTTAAGTTCACTAAGACTCTGGTACTCACTTCTCTGACCAATGGATTTTCCCAAACTATATGGATGTACTACAGTCTCCATTTTGACAGATAAGTGAAAATGGTATATACATATGTATGTCTTGAGTCATTTATTTGACTTTTAAATGCCAAAGAGGTTTATCTTCCCAAGTTCATCTAGGGAATATTTAAGAATCTTTCATCAGTTGTTTATACAATTATTTAAAATCACATTTAACTTCAGTTCATTATTTTTCCTAGCTTTCACTAAAATCACATCTCATGCAAGTCTGTTTATTCACACAGGAATCTATAAGTCCCAACCATTTCAGTTGGTTTTCTAAAAATGATCAAATACAATTTTGACAAAATAAGATTAATGTTCCTGCTTCTGAATTTCAAACAAATAAACACACCTTAACTCCCCTTCCAATCTAGCCAAGTGTTTCAATTTCAAATATTCCAGCAATATGATTTTTCATTTAGCACAAATATGGAATATGTTAGTTAACAAGAAGAATTTTTATGTTTTTAAAATTTTGTTTAAGGAATACAGCTTCATGCATTTAATATATACCCATTTGGAACATGATGATACTTCTTCTCCTACTTCCTTCCCACCCATACTCCTACCTTTCTTTTTCCTCCCTCTTTCCTGTCCTTATTTTTTACAGAGATCAATTTTCAGTTAATTTTTATACTCATAAGTATAACCCTATACTAAGCAGAGCGTTCACCAATTAGTATGAAGAAGAAAATGAAGAAAAGAACAAAAGCAAACAAATAAGAAAAACATTGTTCCTTGACCATCAAGGCAAGGGGTGTTCAAAATCATTGCATCTCGAAAAGTCAGTTTCACTCCTCTAGATTACATTTTAAGTACTCTCTTAGTTACCACAGATCAGAGAGACCATATGGTATTTGTCTTTTTGTGACTGGCCTATTTCACTAAGTATAATGATTTCCAGTTATATCCATTTGGTACAAATGATAGGATTTCTTTTACTACTGTGTAGTATTCTGTAGTGTATATGTAAACCATAATTTCTTTATCCAGTCTTCATCTGATGGACATCAGCTTACAAAAAGAAATTTTTTAAGATTTATTTTTTTTAATGTTATTCAAATGTCACCTCTGCCTCTCTAAGAGGTGGTTAGCTCTCCCTTGGGTATGTTTGTTAAGCACTCTCCCTTATGACTCATAGTCTCTTTGTTTTTAAATTTTTTTTTGACAGGCAGAGTGGACAGTGAGAGAGAGAGACAGAGAGAAAGGTCTTCCTTTGCCGTTGGTTCACCCCTCAATGGCAGCTGCGGCCGGCACACCGCACTGATCTGAAGCCAGGAGCCAGGTGCTTCTCCTCATCTCCCATGAGGGTGCAGGGCCCAAGATTTATTTTATTTATTTGAAAGACAGAATTACAGGGAGAGGTCTTCCATCCACTGGTTCACTCTCCAGTTGGCCACAACAGCTGGAGCTGTGCCAATCTGAAGCCAGGAGCAAGGAGCTTCCTCCAGGTCTCCCACGCGAGTGCAGTGGCCCAAGGACTTGGGCCATCTTCTACTGCTAT